GAAATTTTCACTTTCTTTAATTAGATGAAAAGTTCTCCTAGAACTTCAGATTAATTCATAGTTATGCATTGTGTTTTTCTACCTCTTTATATTTCTTTATATTGTTCCTTCTGCCAAAAGTCTCTTTTCTCCTCTATGGATACAAGTAATTGCTACCTTTCTGTAAAGGATCCCTCCATCACAGCTTTATTAATCTTGGTTCGTGGCCATCTTGTCTCCTGAACTCTGTAGAATATATTGGTGCATAACAAATATTTGACAGTTGTCTGATAAAATAGTTTTTGTTGTTGTTAAACCCTGCCTCTTTCCAACACACAATCAGAAAAGACAATATGCTTGTGTTAAATATTTTTCTAATTTAACTATTCTTTATGACACAAAGGATTTCATTTGGTTTAGGAACATAAAATTGGAAACACATTAGGAATTAATGAATCTAACTTTCCCTGCAATGCATGAATTTTCTATACAGCCTTTTTGTAATATCACATGTCTGTACTCTTAAATATGTCACTCAAATATTCTGAGCCTTATCCATAAAAGGGGGATGATAATAGTACTCACCTTTATTGGGAAAAGTTGGATGCGAATGACAGAAAATCTGAAATAATTGTGGCTTAAACAAGATAGAATTTGTTTTTTTCCTTATACTCCAGGACACAAGCACCCAGGCTTCTACTTTGTTTTTGGTTTTTTATATGCAAGGCATCCATTCTCATATTCACCTCATGGTGTAATATGGCTACTCTAGCTCCAGGCATCATGCCTTCCCTCCAGCCAGCAGAAAAGAAAAGGAGGAGGAGGAAAGGGCATGCCCTGTCTTTTCAAGGACACTTCCCAGAAGTTGCAAACCACTTTGGCTTGTATTTCATTAGCAGTAACTTAGTCACCTGGCTACATCTAGCTCTAAGTGAAACTAATAAAAAAGGGACTATCTGGCCCTGGTTGGTTTAGCTCAGTGGATAGAGTGTCGGCCTGCGGACTGAAGGGTCCTGGGTTCGATTCCAGCCAAGGGCACATGCCCGGGTTTCGGGCTCGATCCCCAATAGGGGGCATGCAGGTGGCAGCCGATCCATGATTCTCTCTCATCATTGATGTTTCTATCTCTCTCGCTCTCCCTCTCCCTTCCTCTCTGAAACCAATAAAAATATATATTTTAAAAAAAAGGGGGAGTATCTGCTTGGCTAAAATTTAGTGGTTCTATTATTGAAGAAAATGATAACAAATTTTGAGGACAATTAGCAATCTTTGCCACCCTATTGATATTGTGTGTTTTTTTGTGTTTTTTTTTGTGTGTGTATTTTTTTTTTGTTGTTCCACTTATTTATTCATTCATTGGTTGATTCTTTTTTTTGGTTTTTGTTTTTTTAATTAAATCTTTATTGTTCAGATTATTACATTTGTTCCTCTTTTTTCCCCCCATAACTCCCCTCCTCTCAGTTCCCGCCCCACCCTCCGCCCTCACTCCCCACCCACTGTCCTCATCCATAGGTGCACGATTTTTGTCCAGTCTCTTCCCGCATCTCCCACACCCCTTTCCCCCCCAAGAATAGTCAGTCCATTCCCTTTCTATGTCCCTGATTCTATTATAATCACCAGTTCATTCTGTACATCATATTATTTATTCACTTGATTCTTAGATTCACTTGTTGATAGATGCATGTTTGTTGTTCATAATTTGTATCTTTACCTTTTTCTTCTTCTTCCTCTTCTTAAAGGATACCTTTCAGCATTTCGTATAATACTGGTTTGGTGGTGATGAACTCCTTTAGCTTTTCCTTATCTGTGAAGCTCTTTATCTGACCTTCACTTCTGAATGATAGCTTTGCTGGATAAAGTACTCTTGGTTGTAGGTTCTTGGTATTCAGCACTTTGAATATTTCTTGCCATTCCCTTCTGGCCTGCAAAGTTTCTGTTGAGAAATCAGCTGACAGTCGTATGGGTATTCCCTTGTAGGTAATTGACTTTCTTTCTCTTGCTGCTTTTAAGATTCTCTCTTTGTTTTTTGCTCTTGGCATTTTAATTATGATGTGTCTTGGTGTGGTCCTCTTTGGATTCCTTTTGTTTGGGGTTCTCTGCGCTTCTTGGACCTGTAAGTCCATTTCTTTCACCAGGTGGGGGAAGTTTTCTGTCATTATTTCTTCAAATAGGTTTTCAATATCTTGCTGTCTCTCATCTTCTGGCACCCCTATAATTCTGATGTTTGTACGCTTGAAGCTGTCCCAGAGGCTCCTTACACTATCTTCGTATTTTCGGATTCTTTTTTCATTTTGCTTTTCTGGTTGGGTGTTTTTTGCTTCTTCGCATTTCAAATCTTTGACTTGATTCTTGCGCTCCTCTGATCTGCTGTTGGGTGTCTGTATAATATTCTTTATTTCAGTCAGTGTATGCTTAATTTCTAGTTGGTTCTTTATCACAACATCGAGGGTCTCATTAGATTTCTTGAGGCTCTCATCAAGTTTATCGGCAGTTTCTAGAAAATTATTGAAAGCCCTTAAAAGTGCGTTTTTTAGCTCTATATCCTCCATTTCTGTCATGTTTTTCTGTCTCTGCATTTTTTATGCTTTCTTGGTGTACTCCCTTGTGGTCTTTGTGCGCAGTCTTGTTGTAGTTAAGCCTTGATTGTTGTCGGCAATTCTGGGGGTGAATTGACCTCCAGGCTAACTGGCTATGAGAGTCAGCTGTGTCTGCAGTGAGAGAGCTTCTGTGCTGAATCTCTATGGCGGTGCTAATCTAGCCTTTGCCTGAGGCTATCCAGCAAATGCCTCTGTGCAGGGCTTGGGCGGGGCGGGTCCCAGGGGATCTACAGGGCGGGCAGAGCGAGCGAGCAGCTATGGCTGCTCTCAGTTCCGTCCCCAGTGGCTCTGCAACCGCTGCAAACCTGTTTGAGTCTGGGTCCCTAGAGACTCGCCTGGATCTGGAGCTCAGAGTCTGAAACTCCCTCCCGATTGAAAACAACAACCGTGCCCTCCGCCGCCGGCCTGCTCCACATGCACTCCGCACCTTAGTATTTCACTTCAGCACTGCGCCTCCTCTGAGTCTCGTATGGTTTCCTCTTTCCTCCTAGTTGTAGAACTTCCACTCAGCCAGCCTTCCTGTGGTTCTGGATGATGTCCGTTCCGTCTTTTAGTTGTATTTTTGAAGTGGTTGTTCGAGGCAGCAAACTCTGGAGTTAACCTATGCCGCCATCTTGGTTCTTCCCTGATGTTGTTATAAAGATTAAATGAGATAATATGTATACTGTGCTTAGAGCATGCCTGACATATGATACATCCTCAATAAGTATTAGCCATTGTTTTCTGTAATTAATCTTTGTAGGCAGTCATCATTTATTATTTGTTCAACACACATGAATACCTGCTGTGCTTATACTATGCCTTTCTCTATTTAAAGTCCTCTATCAGCAATTAGGAGAAGACTACCATCCAAGATAGCTTGTCCTTTGTTGAACAACTCTAAAAGTTAGGAAATTCTTTATTAAACTAAGCCCAAACATTTCTACCCAATAATTCATTTGTCTTTACCCTGATCCTATCTTTAAAAAAAAATATATATATATATATATATATATATATATATATATATATGTATATATAGTGTCCCAAAATTCACGCAAGATTTTTTTTTTAATATATTTTATTGATTTTTTACAGAGAGGAAGGGAGAGAGATAGAGAGTTAGAAACATCGATGAGAGAGAAACATCGATCAGCTGCCTCCTGCACATCTCCCACTGGGGATGTGCCCGCAACCCAGGTACATGCCCTTGACCGGAATCAAACCCGGGACCTTTCAGTCCGCAGGCTGACGCTCTATCCACTGAGCCAAACCGGTTTCGGCATCACGCAAGATTTGAATTTTGCATGAGCATTAACAACAACAACAAAAAATAAAAGCCTAATTTTACTTGGTTTATTGAATCAGATTCTAATATCTGTTGCCCTTTGATTTCAATCCCTTCAATTTGATAAGCATTGCCAAGTACCAATTATGGCCCAGGAGCAGGGACAATGAAGACCAATGAAGACCACGGCTTTGCGTATGTGCCAGCAAAGCTGTGGAGGCCATTTACCCGATGTGCTATTCCATACATAACCCTATACTGTATACTTTATGAATCAATAAAAAATTTACAATTTTTAATTATAAACCGGTGTTTTCTATCAAAATTACTTCTTGCGTGAATTTTGGGACACCATATATATATATATATATATATATATATGGTGTTGATAGTATTACAGATATCTCTTGTTCCTCCCCCCCTTTACCCCCTTCCTCCCAGTCCCTACCCACCCACCCTGAAACAATATGAAACAAGGCTATTTCCTTATTTCAGTTCTGCAAATGTATGAAGATTGCTGTCAAGCCTCCCACTTAGTTCTCTTACTCTAAACAAGCATTTCATTAACTCATTTATCTAGTGTATGGTTTGGCAGGCATTTTCTATAAAGAGCCAGATGGTAAATACTTTTGGCTTTTGGGCCACATGGCCTCTGTCACAACTTTTCAACTCTACCATTGTAATGCAAAGGCAGTTGTTTAAGAGAAAAGGATAAATTTGGTGCCCATTACTTCATTTTGATTGGAATGAGAAATTCTGAAATATTAAATCAGAAAAATTAATACCTAAAGCATTAAAACTAACCTCTTTTTTATCTTCAAAATTTTTTTTTAAATTACAGTTGACAGGCAATAGTATGTTAGTTTCAGGTATACAGCTTAGTGATTTGACATTTATGTAACTTACAAAGTGATCACCCCCAATAAATATAGTACCCATGTGACATTACACATAGTTATTGCAGTATTATTAACTATATTCTCTATGCTGTACTTTATATCCCTGTGACTGTAAAACTAACTTCTGATTGCAAAACTCCTTCCCCCAAATTGGTTCATATTTTGCATTAGCTTAGAATTATGAGTTCATTAAAAAATTCATTCAATTCCACAGTGTTTGACATTATCCCTTTCTCTTACAGGAAACATTCAAACTGGAATTTTAAATCATTACAAGTCAGTGATGGATCACAAGTTGCAGAATGCAATCCTGAATAGAATTCTTCGAAAGAATTGCTTTAAATAACAGAGGAAAGAAAATTATCCACCACTCTAAAACCCTGATCTAGAAAAACCTATTGCACATACTAGGAAGTTAAAACTGGGGAAATTTATCTGACTCTTAATGTACCTGAATCAAAGGAACTGTCGCTTTGTTTCTCAAAGGAATTTTATATCTGAGATTATTTTAATAGCCAATCATTTTATTAGAATCTTGACATGATCATCAGGAAGGAGAAACAGAACAGTCGGTAAAGCCCGTGTGTTGGTCAAGATGACTTCTGAAGAAATGGCAGCTTCTGATCTCATACCTGTGACTCAGAGAAAAGTGGTGTCTTCTCAGTCAGCTGCAGATGAAAGTAGTGAAAAGGCCTCAGGCGTCAGTGTTCCAAAGACACATACTCCTGGGCAGAGTAGGCCGACTTCTCATACCATCTCAAAACTGAACAAACCCAATGAGGAAACTTCTGGAAGCAACTTGCCTAGGATTCTCTCAACAACAAGGGGGAAAATCATGAGTGATGAGAACAGTAACGAAACGTGCTGGGAGAAAAACATGCCCGATTCTGTGAAGAACCTTAACGTGAACGGCAACAACATATTGGAAAACCGTCAGTGTGGTCTTCCTCAGAGCCAGTTTTACAAAACATGCGATTCTGTTGTAGAGGAAGGCCTGCATTTGGAAACTGGAATCCCTTCTTCCCTGGAAAGAAAGGTGTTCCCTGGGATTCAACTGGAACTAGACAGACCTCCCACGGGCATTCGTCCCTTAGGAAATCAATCAGCAACCAGCAGGGCACACCCCGACAGCGATTTGGCGGTATTTCACTTTCATTATGAGCTTGACCGAAGAATGTCGGACAGTGTCTGTTCCCTATCAGACAACTTGATTTTGGATGATTGTGGAAACTGTGTATCACTGCCTGATGTTGGTAGGGAGCAAAAGAAAAATTATATGGCATATACTTGCAAACTGATGGAATTGGCAAAAAGCTGTGATAATGAGAACAAGCAGCGACAGGGTGATCATTGTGACGCCTTGAACGATGAATACATGTGCTGTGAAGCTTCCTGCCGAAAGGCCAACGTGGTATGTTCTAGTGACAGCTTCTGCAGGGAGGGTTTTACTGATAGTCCATCTGCTGAGACTTTTCTGAGCCATTTTGAGGACTTCCCTGATAATTGTGAAGACGTAGAAGATTATTTTAAAAGTAAAAAGGAGCGATCTACTTTGTTAGTGAGGAGATTTTGTAAAAATGACAGAGAAGTTAAGAAATCTGTGTATACTGGGACAAGGGCAATTGTGAGGACTCTGCCTTCTGGTCACATTGGACTGGCAGCTTGGAGTTACATTGATATGAAGAGAAGTGGAAGCTCGTTGCCTTGTGGGAGAGTAACGGGCCAGCTATCAACAGTGCTGATTAGGCAAGATGGGAGCCCATGTCTGTCAGAAGCCCAGTGGTATCCGGTAAGAGTGAAAGTTTCTTTCGATCATTTTTTTAAGCTTGATATTTCAAAATCCAAATTTTCATTGTCTTAATTCATGTAAAATTTTAAATTCTGTCAAATTATGATTTACAGGGGAAGTATTTGTAGTTATTGGAAACAAGTAGATATAACAGTTACTCCAATGGATAGCTGTCTAGGCTGAGTTAACTCTGCAACAATATAGGTAACAAAATACGCATAGGTATGCCATCAGGAGTGGAGACATTACAGAGATTCCCTGGTTACTGTGTGTGGAATTATAAGAAAGAAACTCCTGGTAGTGGAAAAACTCTGAATTTTGTTGTGTCCTTCGGAAATATATGCCTATGTCTTCTTTTATTGTGCTTTTAGTTTGCAAGGCCGAAAGGAACTTAAAGTCCGGTTTCCTCCATTTTCCAACCAGCATTCCCAGTTGCTTCCCTCTTCACCTTTTTTGTGCCATGGACCCCCTTTGGCCATTTGGTGAAGCCCATGGACTCAGAATGCTTTTAAATGCATCGAATGAAATACAAAACATTATAAAGGACACAGATTATGTGGATATAAATTTATCAAGACATTTTTTGAAATTATGACACAGCAGGATAGGCACTTCTTTATTAGCACACTAAACGATGGTACCCAGTGACGTGCTAACTACCTTAACTTCAAAGTAGTGATGAATCTAGGTCAGGAATGGTTTGCCTGGGACTTTCCCAGTTTTATCATCCCAAGCATCTCAAGCCTGGGCATACAAGGGCAGTTGGTCACACTAAATATAAATACTATTGTAGGGTGTCTACTATGACTGTAATATATGGAAATATTTGTGATTTCTATTGGTGACAAGATCATAGCTGCTGCTGCTACTACTACTGAGATTTGTTGCCTATATTCATAATTGAAGGAAATGTTAAATTTCTAACTCTCACATTCTAGTGTTTCACAATTTCTTAAAAATTGGCCCTATAAATAACTACCCAGTCTAGGAAAACACCCTTTTTATTGAAATATAACTGGCATATTTTTACTTTCATCAACATCAATATGGTAGCTAATATTTGTGCATTTTACATGTGCCAGGCATTGGGTCAAATAATTTATTCTTTTTAAAAAAATATAGTTTTATTGATTTCAGAGAGGAAGGAAGAGGGAGAGAGAAATAGAAACATCAGTGGTGAGAGATAATTGTTGATTGGCTGCCTCCTGCACTCCCCCTACTGGAGATTGAGCCCAAAACCTGGGCATGTGCCCTGACTGGGAACGAACTGTGACCTCCTGGTTCATAGGTCAGCATTCAACCACTGAGCCACACCAGCCAGACCAAATATTTATTCTTGATTTCATGCAATCATCTTAATTCCCCTCTGGTATTGGTATGCTTATTAACACTGTAGTATTGCTAAGAAAACTGAGTCTTAGAGAAGTCATGTACCCTGTCCAAGGTCACTTAGCTAATAAGTGGTGTAACCAGGATTGTGATCCAGGCAGCCCACACTCTTAATTCCTCAAGATCTAGAAAGAAATAAAATTTAGAATAAACTTTTAAAGGAACAGACAAATTCTGTTCATTTCAGCACCTGTTGACTTAGTAGCCACATTCACTGATGCTTAGATTTTTCGGACTTGACTGTGTTTGATATGGTGCTTCTAACCCTGTTACATGTTTGAATCACAGTGTCCATTCCCCCCCACTCCTCCACCCCCAGAACCTCTGAATCAGAATCACTAGGGTAGGGCGCAGCTTGAATATTTTTTTCAAAATTCCTTTGGGTAATTCTGTGATTCTGTGGAGTCGAGAGCCACTGACCAGGAGCTTAAATTCTTTGGTCTTCATCAGGACATTTGGGGACTGTTTCCTCTGCCCTAAAGACCATGACACTGCCAGGGCTCTCAGGAGTGTCAGGCCTGACCAGGGAGCCTGAAGGCCCTTCTCGCTGTGCATTCGACCTACCCTTCACCCCACCAAGTGTTAGCAGGTTTGTTTTTACTTCTTCACCTGATACCTCATGAAACCTGAGTCACAGTCAAGGTGGTGTCAGTTACCCACATGCTCCCCAGCTCTTCTGACCGAATTCTGAATTTTGTCCATGCAGGGAGAAAAAGGTTCATCACAGCAATGTGTCAGCCCACTTAAAAAGGCAGCAATTCACATTCACCTGAAGTTGAACATTAAGAACACAATAGAAATTTAAATATAGCAAAGTGAGTGGAAGTAGATTGTTTGAGAACCGTTATCATAGTTCCCCACACACACTTATGCAGACACGAGGGCTGTGAATGTGCTATAAACTGCAGGATAACTTTTGGCATGCCTGTACTTATCCTCCAGTTCCTGCAGCCCTACCACTTCTGAGAATGTTCACAGGTCCTTAGCTTAAATCTGCCCCTTTCAGCCTGTCAGAGGCCCTGGATTGGTCATTTCCAATGAAAAGAACCGAAGAGATGAGTCAAATCATCTCCTCCCTCCTAGTCTCTGGAGGCTGGGAGAGGTCACCACACCTCAGTCAGAGTCAACTCCAGGAACTTCTCTCTCCTCTCTGACTGGGTTTCTGGGAGGTGGTGGGCATTTTTATTAATCCTTAACATGAAGCTGGGGGATAGGCTGACTGTCCTCCTGTCCTTTCTCAAGGGAGAGTTCTGAAAGGCAAAGACCTTTTTGAACATCCATTCCGTGGCAGGAATGGATCAGTATTTTCTAAAGTATGGTATTCTCCCTGTATGTTATGTTTTGTCTTGTTTTCAGTCTGGTGGAAATCCTTCTCAAAAGTTGATGAATTTTAGCCACTTTCCCTCAGCTCCTATAAAGTGCTTCCTTCAGCTAAAAAAAAAAAAAAATGCAGATTCTAATGTTATGCTTATAGTTCCAGTCTTCTGATTATTTCACACTAGAGGCCCGATATACACGAAATTCGTACATGGGGGGAGGGGGGGGGATCCTTCAGCCCGACTTGCATCCTCTTCATTCTGAGATTCCTTGGGATCGGGTCTAATCCAGCAGTCGGACATCCCTCTCGAAATCGGGACAACTGGCTCCTAACCGCTCGCCTGCCTGCCTGGTCACCCCTAACTGCCCTCCCTTGCTGGCCTGGTCGCCCCTAACTGCTCACCCCTGCTGGCCTGGTCACCCCTAACTGCTCTCCCCTGCTGGCCTGATTGCCACTAACCGCCTCTGCCTTGGCCCCTGCCACCATGGCTTTGTCTGGAAGGACGTCCGGAAGATGTCCAGTCTAATTAGCATATTACTCTTTTATTATGAACGTTAAATATATTTAACGTTCACTTTGCTATATTTAAATTTCTATTGTGTTCTTAACGTTCAAGGAATTAAGTATAGATGTGTCCCCCAATCAGACTGTAAATGTATTAAGGGCAAGAAATGGCCCTACTTTTTTTCTACTCTCCATAATGCCAAGTATATAGAAAACAGGACAATGTCAGACTAAGAAACACGGTCTTTGGAGTCAGTTGGCAAGGCCTCATGCAAAATGGGTGCCACTGCTCTCACTCCGGTCACTTATTACATACTTTGTCATGCACATGTCCCCAACCTGTGCTCTTGGTAGCTTCTGACACGGGCAAGTTTACAGCGGTATGAATTTGAATGTATGTCCCTTAATCTATGATGTGGTCGTTTGAACAATCCTCCCCACACATTTAAAGAATGTGTTATTTATCCAATTAGTTCCTTTGCCTCACTTAACTTTTTTTTCCTTGTGTGCCTTTGTCAAAATGACCCAATTACTTTATATTTGCACAGCTGTTCAGAGGAGCATGGATTTGAATGGGAGACATTAATGAGGATTAATGCTGGCTGCCTGACTAACCATATTGGTATCCTCCTCCCTGCTTGTAAAAAATTAAAACCCTAACCCTTATCCAGTTACAGCCACACTCCCTTTCTCCTGCTTTCAATTTATTGGCTCACAAAGATGATATATTTTGGCAAGTGGCTAAAGTGTCCAAGTTAGAGATTGGTTAAGGGTGTTTTCCCTTTTTTAAAAAAATTCTCTCCCTGCCTGAATTTTGGGGAGTTTAGGTACCTAGAGTTATTCTGAATCCGAAGTACAAGAAGTTCTGCCTCTGCTGGAACCAGTCATGTAACCTGAGTTCCGTGTGCACTGAATGATGGAGCGTGGAGGAAACGAGGGTAGCCAGGGCCGAAAGTCCACCAGCTCCTGTAATTACCGCTTTATTTATGTCCCTGCTTGGATCCACAAGAGGATTTAATGTACAATAGGTACAACAAAATAGAAAAAAAAAGTGAAGTTTTAAGAAATCAAAATAGAAAAATTATAAATTATAAAGGAAAGATAAAACCAGCTTCTATGTTGCTAGTTCCTTTTCTGCTTTCTTCCTTCTAAAATGTGTCTTCACGTTTTTTCTACTCTCCAATACAGAAAATTAAACTTAAGAGGCTATGGAAAATTTTTTGAGTGTTTAATATAAATACCTTCGTTGGTATTGTTGGTATATATGTCCTTGATTCTATATTTTCTGTTACATGTAAAGGGGCCAACCAATAACAAATTCATTTCCTTTGTAACTTTTATGGGTGATCAAATATCTGTTGAGCCATGCCGTTCAGTGTTGTTAATAGGTGGCTGGTGAAATAGCAACATGTCTTGTTTTCTCGTCTGGGAATTTGGTCTCCCTGCATCTTGGGTATAATTTGGACCTTGAACTAATTAAAATTTCACAGGGAACACAGGCTAAGCTGAAAGCCTCTGCTTGGTGACATGCAGGGCCTCCTCTTCCATGACTCAGGGTTATGTCAGGTTCATGACATGGCTATAGGAGGAGGCTGGCCCCTTCCTGCTGAGCACAGTGAAAGGGAATCCAGCTCCTGGCCAGTCCCTGTGCAGTTTAGTCACATCTAGTGCATCAGTGGAAAATGTGACGGGCCATCAGAGGCCAGCTCTGTGATAGTTGGTCAACTTTCACTTATTAGCTGCATTGGGACAGTTTAGGGTAAACTTACTTCCACACTGTAGTTACACC